GCTGCGCAGACGTTTCCAGGCTATTAACAGAAACGACCAGGCTCCTAATGCAAATTTCTCTGCGTTCACATGAGGTTGAAAAACGATGTAGTTCTAGCGCCCGGCCAGTAGGGGGCAGAGAAACTTTACAACACTCACACGACCCCCAGCCCCGTGCCCAGCCCCCCTCTCTGCAGTGTACTCACTTCCTGTGCCAGACCCTCAGAACGCACCAACATCATTCTGCATTTTAACAGCGGCTGTGAAAATCTAGAGCTTTGCGTGGTCTCGTTTGGAAGAACGAAGGAGTAGAATTATCCTCTGTGCTGTGCTCGAAGCCCACGAAGCTAGTTAGTGTGCGCGGCGCCATTGTTGTTGTTTGTTCTCCGCTACTGCGCATGTCCAAATGTACGTGCGGGAGCAGCAGGAGGCGGGGGTCAGAGCAGAGGGGGATTTCACACCGTTCTACCTCGCGGGTGTGAAAGAGCCCCCGCTGTGCAGCGTTTCTGAGTTGTCCCACTCTGCAGGCTGGATCTGAACACTTACGTTTTCACCTGGAACACAGTCTTTGTATGAACGGTTGGTAGCAACCGACATCCAACTATACTGTTTTACTGCCACATTGTCTCTGTGTAAACTCAGCCTAAGGCCTAGCGTACATGGACAGAGTAACTGGAGACAACAGTTTCCAGGCGGCTTTTGGCGACTGAGAGTAGATGATGGAGATGATCAGTTGAAATCGGTCGATGTGAGCGCTCTTACAATTGGAGATAAACAGTTGATCTCCGGATTCACTCAGTTGTCCTCAGATCCGGAGATATCACCCAATGCGCTCCAACAACATGTGTGTGTTGCGTGTATAGCGCCCTCTACAGTTTAAGTCAGAAAACACACTGTAGTTGAGGCCAGTTGCTGTTATTCCCCAGACTGGTCTGATACTGGAGTTGCCCGTTTTCACCAGATTGTCGATGTGTGCGGGGCAGCAACTCATATGCAACGGATATAATCAGTTGCCGGTCTGATGTACGCTAGGCATAATGGGCTACAAAACTATTTTAAGTATAAGTTAAAATGATCAGAGTGAATTGTATTTCACTGCATGATTAGAAGGAGAGGCTCTAGTGCTCATGGGGGCTAAAAAAGTCATTAGACACCGGTGCTCTTCTGGTGGGGCAAATAAGATAACTTAGAGAATGAGTCAGAGGCACTCGGATGAAGAGAATTCTGTTTTCAGCCAAAAAACACAATGCATTTAAGCTGAGTCGCTAAACCTGCTCAGTTAAGTCAAACTCACAGACTCGTATTCAAAGGAAGCTTTCTCATAAGGTCCAAACATGGTGTTGTGATCTTATCCATGAAACAAAAATAGGGTAACCTATCTTTAAAAGCAGGATTTCCTAAAAATACCAAAGCAAAAAACACACAAATACTTATTTAAAGAAAATTGTAAAACATATCCAACTTTTTGTATTGGCTATAGACACATACTTGGTCATATAAAAACAGCAGTGGAGTTATGTGAGATTGTTTTATAAAAGGTAAAATGAGTCACTAAAGCTGGGTACGAGTGATAGAAACTCAAAAATGCCTTTTATATAAGAACAATGCATACACCCACTGTAATTTATATGTCTGTAGATATTTGGCTGTTCAAAGCTATGGGCTGGAGCTGCACTTGTTGTTGAACTTCTGCTGTTGGCCACTAGGAGGAGCTCAGGCACTGCATATTGTGAGATAGAAATCATTTAGGAGTCAGAGAAAGCAGCGAAAGTGCAGGGGATAAAGGCGGAGGAGATGAGACCTATTTAAATTTGTATTTTGCATGAAATGAATGTATTTATTGAACTCTTTCATTGGAATCATTTGGGCCTGAGCCAGCCGTGACTCTGCATACAGATGCTGCTGCAGCGGTTTGAGCTCAGGGAGACATACGCCCCGCTTTACATTTATGGAGAGAAAAAAAAAACTATATATATACACATGAAAATGAGGGAAAGTGAAAAAGACAGATCGAGCTGAGGAAAATCTAGTTTGAGAGAAAATGTGTTTATGTAACAGAAAGGCAGTGTTGGTATTCTTTCTCCCATCGATGCTTTTACAAAGACGTCTCCAATCCCTAATCCATCCCCCGGCTGTACTCGCCACATTTGGTTACAAGCATAGATTTACCAGCTTATAGTCTGTAGTTACTCATGTAATCATAATTCTAACAATACTTACATAATGCCAGAGACATGAGGTGAAAATTGTTCTGTTAGGGACCTGATTGTCATGAGCACTCTCAAAGGCAGGGGTGTCCAAACCTTTCAGTAAGAGGCTTTAATTCACCAAGACCTCAAGGATCCAGACGTCTGCTTTATTTTTACAGACAGACAGTTGTTTTTGATTCCATCCATCCATTTTCTTCCCCTTAATCCATGTCTGGATCAGGGGGGGTGGCAGTCAGAGCACCAGCTCCTCAATGATCCTCCTGCAGGTCCTGAGTCCACAGGAGCCTTGATTATTCAGCAGGGGCTTCAGGCAAACGACAGCAGACATCAGTGGGAGTCGTGAAGTCGGTCTTGTGGTGGGCTCGAACCCACAACCTTCAGGCTCAAAGGCCAATGCTCTACCAACTGAGCCACTGCCTTTGTTTTTGAATGTGCCACAATAGTCCATACTGTGTATGGAGCACATATGGCTGGGTTAAAAATGTAGAATACTAGTGTTGTTAAGAAATGTGAATCATGTGAATGTGAACCAATTTAATAATAATTATAATAATAATACATTTTATTTATAGTACACCTTGCATTTTCAGGAAGCCTCAAAGTGCTAATGATGGTATAGTATGGACATAATCTACCGTTTGAAGTCCAGAACTTCAAACCCAAATCCAGTCAAAACATTATTAAAATCTCCGGGCCCCTGGACAAGTCTGCTGAGCCAAGTCTGGTGCAGTGAATAGCATTTGTGTGTTACGGCAGAATGTCCAGGGTTCGATTCCACCTCCAAACCTTTCTGAGTGACGTTTGCATGTTCTCCCCATGTCTGCTCTGGTTTCCTCAGCATGCTCCAGTTTCCTTGACCACTAAAAACATGTGCAGTAGGTCTGGCATGTGCCTCCTGTACGGCAACCCTATAGTGATCTAACAACAAATGCTTTGTGAGTCTGGTCTGTGAACGGCGCTATATAAATAAAGATAACTTACTAAAAAGTTGGAACACTCGTGGTTTTGTGGCACCTAACCGAACCTCGTCTAAGGCTAGCACAGTGTTCTATCAGCTCCATGTCTGCTGTTGTCTTTGTTCTCCTGAAAAATGAAAAGGCTGGAGACCCCACGGCTATCATCAGCGCAACGCCAAGCTGTGAAAAACAATTGCAGGCAAAACAATAACACAAAATGGCTTCTTATTAAGAGCCGGACTGAGTTCAATTAATACAGAGATGGTAATCAGCTGTAATTGAATAGATTTGTCACAGTTCCAGCTGCAAAGTGAACTCAGCAGCAGTTTCAGGTGTGTTTCTTTTTGTCGACACTTGTCCTGTCTTTAATTTCCCTCGTCTTGACTTAAAAAGCTCTCAAAATGCACCGACACACTTTTCAGACTCGAACCCAAACTGCATACTAAGAGATGACTCAAGATGCTACAATAAGGGGAAAAAATTCTGAAAACTATTGGGACTTTGCATTGATAGTGATTTAGCTAAACAGTCTGTCGTCCCCACACTTTAAAAAAATACTCAAACAATATCGTGCGGGCGCCATTGTGGTTGCCATGGTGTTAGCGTGGCATCAAAGGTGGTGATGAAGCAACCGTCTCAGAACCAAAGGCTTAGAACAGGCGTGTCAAACTCAGGCCCGAGGACCAAATCCGGCCCGCAACACCATTTTTAGTGGACCCTGAAATTATTTAAAATTATTACATTATGTGGCTACGAGGGCGTGTTTTACAGTGCGTCTTTTTAGATCTAATTTCTCAAGAAAACAACCATATTATTCATTTTTTTTCAGAAATGTTTAGCCAACATGTAATTAAAAGTTATATTGTTACTTATATTTTGATACATTCCAATGAGTTACAATTACATCTGTTCAATCTACTTTTACTGAACTCTTTTTTTTTTTTCAATCTATCAGAGAAGAATATCCAATCAGAAACAAGTAATGTCGCAAAATACCTTCAAAGTGTTACAAATATTTATAATAATAGCTGGCCCTTGACTTAGAAAGTACTTTTACACAGAGAGTAAAGAAGCTAGTTCTGATTTATCAACACATCTCGTTTCTCTGATCAGCTGTTGTTAGCGGACGCTCTGTGCTCTCTGGAGAAGTGAGTCCCGTGTGTGAAATGAAATGAGAAAAAAAGGTCTTTACAAAGTATTTTTAACCAAACAATCCAATGTGTAACAAGTCCTCTGTATGAAGACGTTCTCCAGGGGCATCACTCGAGTTTTGTTTGCGTCAAATGTATAAAAAAATAATTATTCGCTGAGCTTTTGGGTCTAAACATTTATGCATGTAAGAGGCCTGTACGTTGTCTGTAAGTTTAGAAGCACAGCTAATCATCTGTGTATATTGCTTTTGCTCCTTGTCTGCGCTTATCTTATCGATTCATTTTAGTATTTTTTTGTTCGTATTGTAAAATGTTTAAGGTCTTGGAAAACATGTGACCTAAAATCTTCATGACTTCATGTTTATAATGGCCATTATAAACTAAAGGCTTAGATTTAGATTCAGATTGATTTTATTTGGCATTTGCAGTAAAACTACGTTAAAATATAAATAAGGACGTTGAAAAAACAAAAATATTAACAAAGCAAGGTAACCACAGTATCTGAAGTTCACCAAAATAAAAGTTTGTTCCAGCCCGACTAGAACGAACATGACATTTGTAATTAACCCCCGAAAAGTACAGGAATAACCAAGGTAACCACGGTAACTGAAGTTTACCAAAATGACTGCGTAATTCAGTCCAAATGGATAGAAAATGACCTTTGTAAGGACTCCATTGACTTTTCTGTCTCTGGCCTCCCGCAGTGATTGTGGTGCTGTACGTGGGGCTGCGGCGGCAGAAGAAGAAGGAGACCCTGATGTCATCAAAGGAGGACGTCCGCGACAACGTCATCCACTACGACGACGAGGGCGGCGGCGAGGAGGACACGCACGCCTTCGACATGGGAACGCTGCGCAACCCCAAGGCCGTCAACGAGAACATGCTGCGGCGAGACGTGAAGCCGGAGCACAGGCTGAAGAACGGCCCCGCCCCCGGCGTGTCCCGGGAGAGCGCCGACATCCGGGACTTCATCTGCCAACGCTTGAAAGACCACGACACGGACACGTCGGCGCCGCCATACGACTCTCTGGCCACCTACGCGTACGAGGGTGACGGGTCCGTGGCCGAGTCCCTGAGCTCCATAGAGACCCACGCCGTGCCGGAGCCGGAGCTGGAGCCGGAGATGGAGGAGCAGGAGGACTACGAATACCTCAGCGAGTGGGGCCCCCGCTTTAAGACGCTAGCCGGGATTTTCGGGGATCATTCTGAAACGCGGTCGGACTCAACGGCGCCGGAGAGCACGCAATGATGTGTGATCACCGTCTGCGCGAGGTCTTTCTTCCCCCACATCACGTTCTTTTTTTATTGTCACGCTTTTGAGCACTGTTTCGTCACGCTTTCGTCCCAGAATTGTAACGGTATCGAGGGTTTGGAGAAGCTAAGGGCGTTTGGGTATTTTTCATCAAAACGGTTGAGAAGTTCTTGATGACTTTCGCAATGATCTAAAAAAACAGGGGTGTCATTGCTTCCAGAAAGAGCTGTGTGTATTTGCAGGTTTTTTAAAAAGCCATTCCATTCCATTTTCTTCCGCTTCATCCGTTGCCGGGTCGCGGGGGCAGCAGTCTAAGCAGAGACGCCCAGACTTCCCTATCCACACACACTTCCTCCAACTCGGCCAGCGGAGGCCAACATGCAAAAGCCATATAAAGCTAAATTTAACCTCATGCAGTCATCGTTCCCTCTTCAATAACAGACCTGAAGTTGTTTTTAGATCCATCCACGCTGTTATAGGAACTTCTGGCACAAACATATAACTTTGTGTTTGTCTTAAAGCTTCAGTCATGGAATAGTGTGATGTCATTGGACCATTATTACATCACAGTAAAACTAGTGTTCTGTCCATACATGAAGTGAAATTACATTGGCAACAATCACTTGGCTGGTCATTTTTTAATTTGAGCAAAAAATAATAATAAAAAAAAATCCACTGGTAGCATAGGTGTATAATGCTGACTGAAGATCTTATTTCACATTCTAAAACATGACAAAGTAGATTGTTAATGGACTTAACGATGCATCCTATGTCTTCTTTAACCTGATGACTCTGACGTGCACTGCTCGGTTGGAGTGAAAACCTGCACCCACACGGCTCTTTCTGGAAAGTGTTTAAATGTAATTCTTCAGACAATAATTTTGATCCGTACGTTATTATCATCATCGCTGTCCTGAAATAAGTTTTTATGAAGATTTTGGAAACTTTGTAGATCTTGAACATGACAGCGAAAACACCTCTCTGTCTGGGGTTTGCATGTTCTCCCTGTGTCTGCAAAGGTCTCCTCTTGGTGCTCGGGTAAAAACATGTACAATAGGCTCCTTCCCGCTGGGGCCGCTTCTCTCCCCTTTCAATGTTTTTTTGTCCAGCTGGTTAGAGATTGCAAAAGGTTACATGTCTGATTTTTTTTTTCACACCGAAAATGTGATGAAAGGGTTGGAGATAACATTCGGATAATGGTACCAAAACAGTAATCAGCGCTGAAAACAATAAAACCAGAAATCCTTCCTCCCGCTAAAGGTCACCATGCAGCCTGGATAAAACAGAAGAGTAACAGTCATAATACAGTTTGAGTAATAATTATGCCCCTTAAGATTCTCCACCCTCGGTATCCGCCCATGTTTCCAGTAGCCATGCCGTCCACCTCTCTCTCTCTCGTATGTCTGTCGTCCTTTTTGACCCAGTTTTTTGGGGAAAAACTCAAGGAAATGCGTCCGTTTCCTACAGCATCCTTAAAAGTGCCTCAATCTACTTGTTCTTTCTCGCTCGAGTCCATTCACCATCCAAAAAATAAAATACAAAAAAACGTCTTTTTCCAATCGCAGAGTTTGAGCTGCTGAGGCATCTACCCGACCGCGTGGCCCAGGCTCGGCCAAAGAAGATTTGAATGTTATTTATTGTTAGTTATTTATTGACTGATAGATTCCATGGGATTATTTATCTATTTATCTCTCAGTCATCGACCTGTAATTTTATTTTTGGAGACACTTCAAATTTTGTAATTATTGAGACGAAAGGCTCGCACTTGAAAAAAATATGTTTCTGTTTTGGGCCGTGTGAATAAACTTGTACTAGAGTTGTAAAAAAGAGACTTAGGGCTAAATTCTGCAGTTGAGTCATGTCATGAACACTGGTTTTCTTAAATAAATGACACTTGGACAAATTTGTCATATGGTGCTTTGTATAAACTGCTTTATTGCTGTTGTACGTGAGGAACAGACGTCGCTCTCCGCCGGCAGCTGCTGATATCGAAACATATCTTATTTCCACCTGTGGATGCGGACAAAAACAAATCCTGAAAAGTCTTATTTATTTTACAAAACATCAACATTACGACTCATCTCTCCCATCACCGTAGACGAGGCATCATGAAAAAGTATTTAGGGAGAGGTTTCTACCATTAAAAATGTAATGTATTTAAAAATGGTCGGTCATTTCACTGTCACCTTTTGTTCTCAGCCCTAATCCTGTGGCGGCACGGTAGTTAGCACTCTCGCTTCTCAACAAGAAGGTCCTGGGTTCGAATCCTGGTCGGAACAAGGCCTTTCTGTTCCGAAAGGCCCTGTTCCGACACGGGCATGTTCTCCCCGTGTCTGCGTAGGTTTCTTCCAGGTGCTCCGGTTTCCCCTACCACTAAAAACATGCACAATAGGTCTGAATGTAAATGAGAGAGTGAATGGATGGTGTGTGGAATGATTGGAACAATATCTGAACTTTGAAAATTGTGAAGTGCTTTGGGTGACCTTGGTCTGTAAAATGCGCTGTATAAATAAACATTACTTGCTTACTAATCCTGCATCGTCGAGCTGGGTTAGCAGTGAGACATGTGAAAACAGAAGAGCTGGGAGGGTCGCAAAGAGAATGTGAAAGTTTTCTGTGTGTTGCATCTTTTCTGACTATTAATGTGAGACTGTGGTTTTCATGATCCGACTAAAGTATTTCACTCTATATTAACGATGCACTCGATTTGTTTTAATTAGGGCTGTCAAACGATTAATTTTTTAAATCGAGTTAATTACAGCTTAAAAATTAATTAATCGTAATTAATCACATTTCAAACTATTGGCAAAATTATGCCATATTTTTCTGTAAATGGTTGTTTGAATGGAAAGATAAATGACAGCTTAGTGAACAACTGCATTTGTTTGTTATAACAATAAATCCATATAAAATGGAATTAACATTATTAACATTCTGTCTTTCTGTTTAGACTCAGACCAAATCCATTGTTTGTTACAGATGAGGGACATTTCAAAACAGTCTGAAATGCAGAATGTCATTAAATCTGTTTGATTTGCTCACATTACTTTTTTTGGCACAACTAACATGAACTGATGGTCGAAAGGAAAATTAGGTACATCAGCTTTAATTTAGCGAGTGCGCTTCGGGAGAAGACACGGAGGAGACTGAGGCTCCGCAGTCCAGCTTCAGCGCTGTACATATTGTGTGCATCGGTTACACAAAGACACGTACGCACACTAGAGAATAGTTCTGTAATAGTTCTGTGCGTGGTCTTGGATATGATCCCATTACGCAGCGCCGTTCGCCGTGATCACAGCCGCTGGAAGCGGGACCTGCTGTCCAGAGCAATGTGGCGCCCGCAGCTCATCATGCATAGCCTCAGTCTCCTCCGTGTCTTCTCCCAAAGCGCACTCGCTAAATTAAAGCTGATGTACCTAATTTTCCTTTCGACCATCAGTTCATGTTAGTTGTGCCAAAAAAGTAATGGTGTGAGCAAATCAAACAGATTTAATGACATTCTGCTTCAGACTGTTTTGAAATGTCCCTCATCTGTAACAAACAATGGTTTTGGTCTGAGTCTAAACAGAAAGACAGAATGTTAACGTATACAAACAAATACAGTTCATATGTTCACTAAGCTTTCCATTCAAACAACCATTTACAGAAAAATATGGCATAATTTTGCCAATAGTTTGAAATGCGATTAATTACGATTAATTAAATTTTAAGCTGTAATTATCTCGATTAAAAAAAATTATTGTTTGACAGCCCTAATATAAAACACATGCATTATTTAAACAAAATCAATCTCACAATGAAGAAATGTACAACGTTTGTCTAATCTAACCTCGGTGACCTACCTAAGCAGCACACCTGGATACAATTGTGATGTTTTCATACCAGGATAGTGAAAACCCGTGTCATCAGTGCGATAGTTTTGTCCTGTTCCAAACAAAGCCACCGAATGTCAACTGTGGCAGAGTTTAGACTGAAGAAGACAGGTGTGAAATAGCCTCCAGTCTCAAACACCAACAAAGCACTCCACATAAAATCCAATTCTCCGCCACAGATCTGTTTAGTTCAGACAAGACCCAGCACTTGTTCTCTACCTGAATTTCCCTGCTTGCATTTCTCCGCTGTGATCAAAACAATAAATAATTCACCGCCTCAAATACAAAATACCATTCCCAATTATTTCTGACTTTTCGTCTAGCGCTGTCTGTAATCAAACATCTCGCGCAGCAAAGGGATTATAGTCTTTGCGCATGAATTGTGATGTTGAAATGAGTGGGAAGGTCGTGTTTTTGCATTCGCTAAAGAAGTAACGACTGCAGAAAACAAGAAAACACTTTCACTGTAAAGCGGACGGCGCAGCGGCAGGTTTGGAAAGTGTGGAGAAAGTATTCTGTTGCTGGAAAAGTACTTTGACAGTGCATCGCCAATAATAACGACAAACTAAGGTACACACAGCAATAACATAGCCATGGGCATGTGAGCTCGGAATAGAGCCGCTGCTTGTCCACGTTGAGAGGAGCCAGTTTATGTTTCTTCTTTGGAATTAGTTTCTTCTTTGGAATTAGTAAGTAAGTAAGTAAGTAAGTTTTTATTTATATACCGCCTTTTCACTGCAGATCTGAGTCTCAAAGCGGTTTACAATTGTTAATTTTTGGGCATTGGTCCTCTCACTCCACACAGAGATGGGAGCGGGGCCAGTACAGCACATGCCAGAACTATTGTACATATTTTTAGTTAGAATTAGTTTCTTCTTTGGAATTAGTTTCTTCTTTGGAGGTGTTTTAGTCTGTCTGTCTGTCTCTTCTCTCTCTCTCTCTCGCTCTCTGTCTCTCTCTCTGGGTCTCTCTCTTTCTCTCTTTGGTCTCGTCTCTCTCTCTCTGGGTCTCTCTCTCGTCTCTCTCTCTCTCTCTCCAAATCTTTCTCTCTCTGGTGCTCTCTCTCGTCTCTCTCTGGTCTCTCTCTCTCTCCTTCTCTCTCTTTCTCTCTCTGGGCTCTCTCTCATCTCTTTCTCTCTCTGGTCTCTCTCTCTCGTCTTTCCTCTCTCTGGCCTCGTGCTCTCTCGCTCTCTTTCTCTCTCTGGTCTCTCTCTCTCTCTCTCTGGTCCTCTCTCTCTCTCTCCGTCTCCATCTCTGGTCTCTCTCTATCTCTCTGGTCTCTCTCTCTCTGGTCTCTCTCTTTCTCTCTTTGGTCTCTCTCTCTCTCTCTCTCTCTCTCTCTTTCTCTCTCTGGTCTCTCTCTCTCTCTCTCTCGTCTCTCTCTCTCTCTCTCTGGTCTCTCTCTCTCTCTCTCATCTGCCGTCTCCGTCTCTCTCTCTCTCTCTCTCTCTCTCTCTGGTCTCTCTCTCCTCTCTCTCTGGTCTCTCTCTATCTCTCTGGTCTCTCTCGCTCTGGTCTCTCTCTCTCTCTCTCTCTCTCTCTCTCTCTCTCTGGTCTCTCTCTCTCTCTCTCTCTGGTCTCTCTCTCTCTCTCTGGTCCTCTCTCTCTCTCTCTCTCTCTCTCTCTCTCTCTGGTCTCTCTCTCTCTCTCTCTCTGGTCTCTCTCTATCTCTCTGGTCTCTCTCTCTCTGGTCTCTCTCTCTCTCTCTCTCTCTCTCTTTCTCTCTCTGGTCTCTCTCTCTCTCTCTCTCTCTCTGGTCTCTCTCTCTCTCTCTCTCTCTCTCTGGTCTCTCTCTCTCTCTCTCTCTCTCTCTTTCTCTCTTTGGTCTCTCTCTCTCTCTCTCATCTCTTTCATTTTCTCTCACTCCAAACACGGTGGTGATAAACTACTACTGTAGCCACAGCTGCCCTGGGGCACACTGACAGAAGTGTTATATATAGGCAAGTCAAGGCAAGGCAGGTTTATTTGTACTCCACAATTCAAAGAACTCAAGATAACTCAAAGTGCTGAACAAAACAAGATCGAGAAAGTCACACATGGAATTAAAATCATAAATAATCACAGTGTATTAAACAGAGCAAAGATATAATCCCTGGACATTGTTTGGAGATGATAAAGTTAGAAAGCAGCACATGTTTATGTTGTAGATTTGTGCAGCTCCAAAAAAACCATTTGGATTATTGTCCTTGAATGTGCCGCTGCAGCCAGCAACCACGAGCTGTATCTCCTGTGTCATTATATAGATTTTAATAACTTACGATAACAAACATATGAGAGCGGGAGTTTTGCTGAAACTGGACTGGACTGGTTTTGGTTTTCTCCAACCCCAGTCCAGTCTAGTCCAGTCCAGTTTATTTGTAAAGCACTTATAAGAAAAACACAGTTGACCAAAATGCTGTACATTAAAAAAATACAATTAGAAAATACAAAGCAGTAGCAAAAAGCACACTATTTACAGCAAAACAAATCAACAATACACACATCAATTAAAAGCCAATGAGAACAAGTGGGTTTTAAGACTTAGAAACAGGAAGTGAATCAGACTCACCCACAGGAGCATTCCAAAACCCAGCATTATTTCATTATCGTATGAATATATTGTCCGTATCGTTCAGCTCTAAAGCCGGGCTATGTCTGCATCAGAGTGTATCAAGGAACACCTATCTCCAGACTATTTCATCACTGACCTTTGTAGCATAACATTTGACCTAACCTACCGCAGCTTCATACAATCTACATTTTGGATCTCCATTTTGAAGCTGAAAAAGCGAGTTTCATTACTTGAGATGCAGCAACTGGAGTATGTGCAAAAAGAGAGAAGTCATTGCATCAGACTGCTGCCTCCACAACCTGGTCCCAGATCAAGCGTAAGCAAGTGGATCTCTGTGGGATTTAGTATGTTGCAATTATAAGCACTTCTGAACTGAGAGAGATGTCCTTTGCTTCAACATTTGACTACATTTCAAGAGGAAGAACTCATAACCATCTGTGTTTTCTTTCACTCAGACATGCTTCTATTCCACAGTTAGTTTAATGAGATACACAATAATACAACTGCATTTCCTCCGTCAAAGCTAAGTGTTACTTTGAAATGTATTTTTGAAATCAAATACTTCTGCGTTCAGTCGATCTACTCATGAGCACAAACTCAACAGCAGCCTTTTGCCCTTCGCGTCTGGAATATCCTTTTCCCGAGTGCGAGTCTGTGTGTGTGTGTGTGTGCGAGTGTGTGTCTGTGTGTGTGTGTGTGCGTGTGTGTGTGTGTGCGTGTGTATATGTGTGTGTCTGTGTGGTGTGTCTTCTCTGATGACGCTGTAATGGAGCGACTGGATGAAAGCCAGAGCGGTCAGTGTCGTCCGTGGCTGCGCTTCAGTGATGGACAGTAAGTGAATCCCTCTCCAGCCTTTGCCCCAGGGACCGCTCTGCACTAACCACTCTACGGTTATGACTTTGAAATGGTTTTTTTCACTGTTAAATAAGTGAGGGATGGGATTATTACAACAATATGGCGTCCACAAATGCAGCTGTGGTGGTCTGCACGTTCCATCAGACTGCAGCAATCAATACAAATCTGTATAAAGTGGTTGAATTGGATGAATTTTTATAATCAAGAAATAAGTGTTAGAAGAAACAAGACCGTTTTCTTTTGCACTACAAAAAGTGACGAAAAATAAGTACAAAAAATCTCAAACTTGACAAACTGAGTCTCAATTTTAGCACATTCTGAAGGCCTTAAAACAAGATTTTCAAATGGGACTAAGCAAAATGATATTGTTTACTAAATGGCTTTGTTCCGTTGGAGAATCTTAACACAGTCAGAATGAGCTCAGATTAGGATAAAAAAACCTCTCGATTCAAACTAATATTACTTCATATTTCATACGTTTTTGCAGTGTGGAATTTATTTGTGCTTGTCCCATTAAAAAATCATGTTTTAAAGCTGGGGCCCGTAACTTTCAAGCCACAACATGGGAACTACCACAACAGACAGCGTTGTGGTTTTGGTCACAGAAAAATGAAAAAGAGAGGACAGCCCTCCCTCAGCCAATCAGCTCTGAGAAGAAACACAATGGATTTATGCAACATTAGATTCCCCAGGTTGAGGCGTGTTAATGTGAATCCTGATTTTACTAAAGTCATCCGGACAAACCACACACAAAGACAAATTATTTTTTTACTTGAAAAAACTCAGAGGAGACGATGATGCAGCCGTAGCTACAGACAGATCTCCAGCTTGATATCAGGCTGACTTTAAATCCAAAACAGAACCACCCACATGGGAAAACCTCAACAGAAAATATGATCTCCTTGTTGAACATCATAGTTTTGCAAATCACTAAACTGTGGAAAGTGTGGATAATGATTTTATTGGTTTTCACAATCGAAAGTCGGTCAAAGTTGTGACTAGACTGACTAGACTGATTCATTCATGAAAACCTGAACCACAGAAACAGTTAATCTATACTACAGCAAATGCTCCACTAAATAAAGTGTTTTTGATTAATACTTATGAATACTTTGTGGTAACATGTTTTGATCCAATTACAGAATTCCAGTTTTAATGATGTTTTGTGTCTGAAAATGGAACAAAAACATTGAATTGACCTATGATCATGTCCATAAGAGTCAGATACAAGTGACCCACATGTATTTGACCCACATGTAAAATCATAAATAATCACAGAACATTAAAAAGAAAGATAAAAATATAAAATCCCTCAGTTGTAGCACAGCTAAACAGAACTGTCTTTAACCTGGTTTTAAACATTGTCAGAGAGGAGGCCTGTCTCACTTCTTCAGGAAGATTGTTCCAGATTTTAGCAGCATGAATCTGAAAAGCTGCCTCCCCATGTTTAGTTCTGACTCTGGGCACTAACAGGAGTCCAGTCCCTGTGCTCCTCAGAGTCCCAGCAGGAGGCCAGTCCCTGTGCTCCTCAGAGTCTCAGCAGGAGTCCAGTCCCTGTGCTCCTCAGAGTCCCAGCAGGAGGCCAGTCCCTGTGCTCCTCAGAGTCCCAGCAGGAGTCCAGTCCCTGTGCTCCTCAGAGTCCCAGCAGGAGTCCAGTCCCTGTGCTCCTCAGAGTCCCAGCAGGAGGCCAGTCCCTGTGCTCCTCAGAGTCCCAGCAGGAGGCCAGTCCCTGTGCTCCTCAGAGTCCCAGCAGGAGGCCAGTCCCTGTGCTCCTCAGAGTCCCAGCAGGAGTCCAGTCCCTGTGCTCCTCAGAGTCCCAGCAGGAGGCCAGTCCCCGTGCTCCTCAGAGTCCCAGCAGGAGTCCAGTCCCTGTGCTCCTCAGAGTCCCAGCAGGAGTCCAGTCCCTGTGCTCCTCAGAGTCCCAGCAGGAGTCCAGTCCCTGTGCTCCTCAGAGTCCCAGCAGGAGTCCAGTCCCTGTGCTCCTCAGAGTCCCAGCAGGAGTCCAGTCCCTGTGCTCCTCAGAGTCCCAGCAGGAGGCCAGTCCCTGTGCTCCTCAGAGTCCCAGCAGGAGTCCAGTCCCTGTGCTCCTCAGAGTCTGGGCCAGTTATGCATTAAACCCAAAAAGTCATAATTATTTTACCTTAACCTTTGAACTTTATTTTGCATAATTTTATCCAGTGGTGCCGTAGGATTCAGGATGCATTCCTATTTTAGCAGATACATTTTTTTTTTGTATGGTGGAAAATTGGATCTGAAAACAATAAAAACTGACAGTTCTCTCTTTGGGTTGATTCCAACACAAACTGGAACGCCACATCAACATGAAAAACCTCGACACTTGCCCAATCCACCTCCATCCAGTCTCCTCCTCGTGATAAATCAGTGATGAGAAGTGCAGCTTGAAGTCTTCCGCTAACGTCGTCCTTTAGCATCATTTACGCAGAGTGTGTTGCACTAGAGGATGATGGGAAACCGCATCCTCTGCGGCGAGAGTGAATCACGGTCGCAGACTTCTCCCCTGAGCCACGGACTGTTCTGGAGACGCCGACCTGAAGAACACAAACATCCGACTGCAGAGCCAAGGGACCGCGGGGCCCGAAAGAATCTGTGGTATGTCGTAGATCGCATTTTATACAGGTCAAACTCTGAAAATTAGAATATCGTCCAAATCTACGTCTACATCTGCAGCCCAAAGTGCATCAAGGTACAGTGTGAAACTAATAATTGACTGACACATGATTTATATTTGGCTCACAGCTGTAAATAATTAACCAAATACAACCTAAATAAAACTTCTGGAAATGGACTGAAAGCCACAAGATAAGAAAGAGACAAGATCAACCTAAATGATCTTACAATGGACAAAAGTACAATGGTCATCAACATAGAACAAAGAAAACAGATGACTCTTTGGATGAGTTTATGGCATGTAAAGGTTCCACATTTAATATCCAAATACAGAAATAGATACAACTTTTGAACAATACTCATATTTTACCAGTTGGTATTTTCTTGGACACTCAAAGACACATGGTATCATACATTTTCTCTGTATACGCTGAAGGTGAACCACTGTAGCCACAGCTGCCCTGGGGCACAATGACTGACCGCTCTGACCACCACCAGCCATTCAGAGAAACACCAGACTTATTCTAGGCAATGTGGGTGTGTGTGTTGCCTAAGGACACAACAACAGTTTGGCACTTTACAGCCGCCACCCCCTACTGTGGCACCTGGTGATCCCACAGGTCTCCCATCAAAGCACTAACCAGGCTCTGCCCTGCACAGCTTTAGAGATTTGATAGGATTTGGCTTGTCATGTGGTGCCATGAAGTTAAGGAACAATGGGAAACAGTTAAAATCAAAGCAGAAATATCAGATTGACATATTCAATGACCAATTTCTACTACAGACGCTTCTATAATGGCACTGAATGGTTGGTGGTTGGAGTATGCCCCAGGGCAGCTGTGGCTAAAGGTGTAGTTTATCACCTCTGTGTTTGGAGTGAAAGAACAATGACATGTGGAGCGTCTTTGAGTGTCCTGTACAAAACCAAAGCAGTAGTAAAATATACTTGGGTCTCCTGCAAACAGTTTAAAATGATCCAGTTATGTTTGTGAGCAGCCAACACTCTGCTACATCGGCGTTTACTTGTGCGAGCCGCAATGGAGATAAATAGAGATAAATAGAGGAGCAAGAGTGACCAAGAAGCACTGCGCGGGAGCTTGGGGTGGACAGTAGTGGCTCCATCTCATGCATAAACATGAGGCCTGGCACCGCGGCGCCTCAGCCCCGGGGAGAGTGCGGTTAGCAGCAGCCGCGGGAGCCAAGCAGAAGTGATGGCATCGATAGTGTTTGTGCTGGACGCGGTTCAAGCCTCCGTGCCCCGAGAAACCTCACATTGTCTGGTCTGTCAGCGCCGATGCCAGGCCCAGATCTGAGCGGGCGCGACGCTGAGAGGCAGAGATGTCCCCCAGAGTCTGGACACCAGGGTTATAGAGGGGACACGGGTCAGAAGGAGATCAGGGTTAAGCAGAGGACAAAGAAGAAAGAAAGAAGTATGCAACACATTTGAATCGGGAAAAGATGAGAGAACAGAACAGCGGAACAGAACTTAAGAGCCTTAACAATAGCAAATGTGAGAAGGAGCCAGAACATGTAACTCCCACAGAGTAAGAGAGTAAGAAAGAGTAAGAGTAAGAAAAGCCTGGTCTTACCATACTATCTACTCATTTCATCTTGTACTTAGGTCTGGATTTGCTCAATTGAGTGAGGCATTTAGCAGTTAGCCTAGCTTTAGCCTCTTCTTTGCCACTAACGGAGCCCGCGTAGAGCCACAACATCTTCACCAGCGATTACATTTTCTAAACATTCCTCTTGCTCCACATTTATACTGACAGTTCATAAGTATCTAAACTTCAAATATACACACACCTGCTCCAGAGAGCACATCACCCCCGTCCTCAAACAACTCCACAGTCCCTCCTCCTCCTCCTCCTCCTCCTCCTCATCTACAAGTCGCTCCATAACCTGCTCCTTCTCACATCACAGACATCCTCACTCCCTCAGACCTCATCACTTCCTCAGACCTCCTCACTTCCTCAGACCTCCTCACTCCCTCAGACCTCCTCACTCCCTCAGACCTCCTCACTCCCTCAGACCTCCTCACTTCCTCAGACCTCCTCACTCCCTCAGACCTCCTCATGTCCTCAGACCTCCTCACTTCCTCAGACCTCCTCACTTCCTCAGACCTCCTCACTCCCTCAGACCTCCTCACTCCCTCAGACCTCCTCACTCCCTCAGACCTCCTCACTCCCTCAGACCTCCTCACTTCCTCAGACCTCCTCACTCCCTCAGACCTCCTCACTCCCTCAGACCTCCTCACTCCCTCAGACCTCCTCACTTCCTCAGACCTCCTCACTCCCTCAGACCTCCTCATGTCCTCAGACCTCCTCACTTCCTCAGACCTCCTCACTTCCTCAGACCTCCTCACTCCCTCAGACCTCCTCACTCCCTCAGACCTCCTCACTCCCTCAGACCTCCTCACTCCCTCAGACCTCCTCCATCATCACTGTCTCTCCCCCTCAGACCTCCTCACTCCCTCAGGACTAAACACTGAACCCTGGGGGACCGAGCCTCAGCCACAGCCACCCCCACTCTCTGGAACTCTCTCCCACAACCATCAGAAACTCCCACTCACTACAGAAGTTAAATCCCTTCTCAAAACCCACCTCTCTCAGCCTGTGCTTGATTCTGTTCATGTATATTTTTTTGTGTTTTGTAAATATAAACAATAGAAAATAACTGTCCACAGGTATCAGACAACATCACTGAAAAAGCAGAAACATCTTTAATATTCTGACAAAGCTGATTTCTTGCTTTCCTGCTGTTGTCCAAGTGAAAAGAATTGGCGTGACCGGTGCAGAGGATGATTCAGTGATGTTGTTTTGGGCTGTTTTCACCTCCCCGCGCCCTCTGCCTCTCTCTGCACCAGCCACTCAAACTCAGGAGGCTTTTTCATCTGTGGGAGAGTTATTTACAGCCACATGTGAAAGTTTATGAGCCACAACGCAGTCAAATTCTTCAAAAACAAACCGGGCTGATTCTAGCTTCAGACATGTGACAATAAGTTCAATCAATCAATCAACGTTTATTTATAGAGCGCCTTTCCTACACAAGGCAACGCAAAGCGCCTCACAACCCATATAACATCATGCATAAATCATCAAACATTAGAATTTAAGTAAACATAAAAAGACAGATTAAGAGCACAAGATATATAAAATCACACAAGTAGTTAAAAACCGTAAAAAATTAAAATCACACAAGGGATTACAATCATAAATAATCATAAATAATCATAGCGCATTAAAAAGATTAAAGATAAAAACAAATGTAAAATCATTCACTTGTATGCACAGCTAAAAAGAACTGTTTTCAGTTCAGTTTTAAAAACTGCTAGAGTAGACGCCTGTCTCACACTCTCGGGAAGACGGTTCCAGACTCTAGCTGCATGAATCTGAAACGCAGCCTCCCCATGTCTAGTTCCGACTCTTGGCACTAACAGAAGTCCAGTCCCTGTGCTCCTCAGAGCCCGAGTTGGTTCATATGGCACCAACATGTCGTGGATGTACCCTGGTGCGAGGCCATGGAGAGACTTGTACACAAGTAAAGCTACTTTAAAATCTAGTTACGTTTGCACTTTGTCCATCCATCCTTTCTGTCCAAACACACTCTAAAATATGTCCTCTGTCATTGCACACTTTGAATTGCTACATGATTTTGTTTTTATCTGATATAGAGAGAAAATGTAATAAATGAATCCTGGGTAGCCAACTTTCACGACAAAACAAAATCCTTCTAACTAAATTCCTATAAACTGTCATGTATGTATCTTTTTTTTTGACAGAATAAGTTAAAAAACAAGGACCACCATCTCTGCCCAAAGGGTCAAATAGTGACTCTATGTATGAGGCTTGAATGCTAAATATATTATGTTTTCTCATAACATTGTGCTCTGGTCTGATTTGAAAACACTTACTTTTACAAGAACCTACTGGGACATGAAATTTGGGATTACAGTATGTATGCCATTATTTCGACTTCAGCTGTAGTCTGTTCATTGCTATTCACCCGCTGTCCCATCGTCAGTGTCATGGCGTGACGATGTGACTCCTGAGTCCGGCCTGGTTCACCTACACCTGTGGTCCGGTCTCCTCCAGCCCGGGCTTGTGGGCTGCATCCCCCTCGCCTGGGAGACTCCTCAGTCCTGCACCGGAGAGCTCCAGTCTTCGTTCTACAGCCTGAGTCCTGGATCTACAGCCTCAGTCCTGGGTCTACAGCCTGAGTCCTGGATCTACAGCCCCAGTCCTGGGCCTACAGCCTGAGTCCTGGATCAACAGCCTCAGTCCTGGGTCTACAGCCTGAGTCCTGGATCTACAGCCTCAGTCCTGGATCTACAGCCTCAGTCCTGGATCTACAGCTTCAGTCCTGGATCTACAGCCTCAGTCCTGGATCTACAGCCCCAGTCCTGGGTCTACAGCCCCAGTCCTGGGTCTACAGCCTGAGTCCTGGATCCACAGCCTGAGTCCTGGATCCACAGCCTCAGTCCTGGATCTATGGATGAACACCTCTCCCAGTATGTGTTTCTCTGAGGCGTCTCAATTTTTTCCACATTTGTATTTTTTTTGTCGATACATGAGAGTCTGAGATGATCCGGGACATTTATTGACTTATATTAACAATTATGGATATTTTTCATCTGTCTCTCTATGGCCCAATGGCTTCTAAGAGTTGCCTTTCCTGTGTTTTATTCTCTGATCTCTTGTTGGTGAGCTTTGTAAAGTCCTCCGAAACGACTGCTGTAGTGATTTAAGGCAATACAAAAGTAAATGGATTAGATATGGATCGAACGATACGACAAACTGAGGTTCCCACAGCTGTAAGACACTACATATTTTACTCTGAATAAAGCCAGGAACTCTAAATCCCTTTACATGTTAATCATTTCTTTAGCCCGCTACACTACAACACTACAAGCATCTCATTCCTCCAGCCATTTCTAAATTGTCTTTCTACGTAATTGCACATTGTTTGGTTGTGAGCCGCAGTGTTTACAGCATTCGATTCGGGCGCACAAAACCAAAGCTGTCACTTCCAACAAAAACGACAAAGAGGATGTGTCAGTGCGTCTCTGGAAACTCCTCCGTGCTGTGGCCATTGTCGCTGCTTCCACATGAATAAATGAACACAGAGCCCGAGAAACAGCAGATTACAGCGTTGTTGCTCATGGAACCATCAGTGAAGTGGTCCACGCATCACTCGGATAAACACAGACCTTTAATTGCCCTGTTTTCTAAAGCGCAGTCCGTGTAAGAATGTAGGATGCACAATTTTGGCAAACTATTGAATTGTGGTTTTTCTGACAAACATTGAGACACACAGCTTCAAAGGAGTTGGCAAACATTTCAGAAAACAGTTTGAAGATAAATGAGAAGTTCAGACTGGAGGAATGGGCTGTGTCTCCCCCACCTTCACACCAGTTTCTCCGACTTTTACAGTCCTCTTCACTCATCTGAGTTTGCACCTGCATCAACAGTCTGCATTCAAACAAGCTGCATCTGACAGCTTCAGCTCGAGCGGCGACCCTCCTCCTCCCCATCACTGCCTAAACCATGACACTTGTCTTGTTGAGTTGTCTGTTATAAGTATTAAAAAGCAAAGTATATTGAGATTTGAATAATGTTATGGCACAAAATAATTAAAATAAACCATTTTTCCCAATGACATGAAACATATGCATTTATATATTGAAATAATCTTAAAGTTGCACACACACACACACACACACGACTTTGCTAAACGTGTGGTTGGAAAATGAATGTAAAAATATACAAATCATCATGGAGAGTTTTACTTGTTGTCTGCCATTGACGCATTAATACGTCATTTTACCGTATTTTCGGAGGATTCGCTTTAGACCATATTTTATCGAGCCAGCAGGTGGCACCAGTGCTCTCTGGATGGTTTGAAAACAGGATGCACTTGTTGGACCTCTTTTTTCTCAACTTGGATTTCAGATAGTCATAGTACACGATATTCTGTGGGTCTTGAAAAATCTATCAAAAAATCATCCGAAACTGCTGACGATATGAGAGTATCTGTTCTGCAATGGGCTGGCAGGGAATGAGTCATCAGTCCTGTTCGGTCACAGAAGTAGATCCTTCATTTCCTGCCGATCGATGATGGTCAAAGCAAAGACATTTATCTATTTGTGTAATTCCAGGAAACATACGTCATATGTTTGTCTCTTTTGACTGATCTAATTGGTTGAATTTCGTCTCTGCTATGGGAAACTCAAGGCCTTTGAGTTTACTGCAGTTGGTATTTTGGGCTCTACAAGAACAAATAGATTTAATTGGATTTTACACAATGGAAGCAGTCTCTTTGTGTGTGTAGAAGTTACATGATCATGGGTTTAGTTTCTACAACAATGGAAATCTTGTCTTCACTTACAAGTCTCTCAGTTTCTTCTGGTCTGTGTTTTTACAACTGTGTAAATGAAATGCATTATTAACCCGACCTTGACAGCGGCTGTTGCATGTGCGTAATCTCAAGTGTAAGAAACAGAAAGTCGACAGTCCTTAACAAGTGTCTTTAGCGCTAATGAACCGGGTGTCAAACAGCTAGTCTTTAGTTGACGGGATGTCAGCGTGTGTGAACCTGTAGAGCGTCCATGTTGTGCCAGTAGAAAGTACAGTAGAAAGACAATAGATGTAGACAAGTATAATGTTAGTATGTTTAAGAAAGCCAAATCAATTATTAAAGGGAAAAAATAAATATTATTGTCGACAAGCCACAGCCATTTTGTACATTTCACCAATTAGATCATTTGTTTTGTTGCCAATTAGCCCGTCTGGTCCGAACAATACTTGGAAAATTGCTGATATTATCGCAATTTTAATAATTATGATGTTTTAGTATACGGCTCTTAACAGTAGCATTACAACGCTTTGATTTTAATGTAATTTCATATTTCTTGAAAACAAACCACTGAACCCAATAATGGCCGCTGTTTGGGTGAGAAACAGAAGGAGCAGAATGAAAACCTGCAGCTCGTTCATCTGAGGAGTGGAATACGACTGTTGTAGTAAGTAAGTCATGTTTATTATATAGCGCATTTTACAGACCAATGTCACCCAAAGCACTTTACAAATGTCCAGAGTCAGATATTGTTCCATTCTCTCCACACGGTGATGACAGAAGCGAGTCCAGAACACACTGGACCATCAAAGCCTCCGACCCAACACCATCCATTCACTCTCTCATAACATTCAGACCTATTGTACATGTTTTTAGTGGTGGTGAAGACCGGAGCACCCGGAGGAAACCTAGGCAGACACGGGGAGAACATGTAAAACTGCACTCAGAAAAGCCCTGTTCCAACCAGGATTCGAACTCAGGACCTTCTTGCTGAGAGGCGAAAGTGCTAATAAAACCACAAATCTTATAAATGTTGTTGTTTAAAAAAAAAAAAAAATACTCTTAAGAAAGCAGGTTAGACACTTCCCCCACATTAGAATGAGTCTGGTGTGTGTGTGAATGGTTGGTGGTGGTGGG